GAACCTGTAACGGAAATTTTGAGTAGTTTGGAGAACCAGCAAATGCCACCTCTGGCTGGGCCTAGAGTGGGAAGGGAGTGGGGATTTTGCAATATTCTTCCCCCAGGAGGAGGAGGGAATGGAGATTTTGCAATATCCTTCAAAATGTCAAACTGCCAACCTTTCTGATTGACAAGCTCAGTGACTTAGCCACTGAACCAATGTGTCCATCGTATGCTGATTAGTGTACATTAAAATGCTTATACTAAAATAACTGTAATTGTTATTTTACAGTTACAGTTAAATAGTTATTTTAAGTCTAAGTTCTAAGTCTCCCTAGGGAGTCAAATGTTCTTCTTTCCTTCTCATGGGGACTCACCGCAGGAAGGGCAAAGAAGGAGATTCCCAGCAAGGCGAAGCAGGCTGTCAGCACCCGGCCCAGCCATGTTTTCGGAACCTTGTCCCCATAGCCGATAGTAGTGAGTGTGATCTGAAATCACAGAAGCAGATAATTTGTATAGGGACCTTCTCCTTAGGGCTTCATTACAGCATACATGGTAGCTAAATTTTGTGTTGCTGTAATGAAAGCAAGATATAATTGGTTAAAGACATACCCATCTCTGTTTTAAACATTACTTTTGGTCCAGTACATCTTAACTAATAACTTACAAGGATAAGGTAAAGGTTCCCCTCACACATTTGTGCTAGTCGTTTCTGACTCTAGGGGGCAGTGCTCATCTCCGTTTCAAAGCTGAAGAGCTAGCGCTGTCCGAAGACATCTCTGTGGTCATGTGGCCGGCGTGACTAAACGCCAGAATGTTGTTACCTTCCCACCAAAGGTGGTTTCTTTTTTTTCCTACTTGCATTTTTATGAGCTTTCAAACTGCTAGGTTGGCAGAAGCTGGGACAAGTAACGGGAGCTCACTCAGTTACACGGTGCTAGGGATTCAAACTGCTGAACTGCCGACCTTTCTGATTGACAAGCTCAGTGTCTTAGCCACTGAGCCACCATGTCCCACCTCTACTTTACCTTTACCTTTACTGTTCCTGAATCCTGTCCCAATTTATTTATCTGAATTAAAAATGTACCGGCATGGCACAGGGTTCTTGATAGAAAAAAAGAAAAAAATATCTTACAAAGGAAATAACTCTCTTCCTGTTAGAGCAGGGGTCCCCAAACTTGGCAACTTTAAGACTTGTGGATTTCAACTCCCAGAATTCTCCAGCCAGCATAGCTGCCAAGTTTGTTAAAGTTGCCAAGTTTGAAGACCTCTGTGTTAGAGAATGACAATGCTAGTTGCTGGTTGGGTTACAGCCTTTCCATTTAACGTATTTTTCAGAGTATAAGACGCACCTTTACCCCCCCCTAAAAGAGGATGAAAATTTGGGTGCATCTTATACACTGAATGTAGCCCCACCCACCCACCTTCCCCCACCCTTTGGCCTCTGCCTTCCAGCAATTTACCTCCTTGCAGCAAACTGGGAAAATGGGGCTTGTGAAGGCTTCAATAGGCTATAACAATCCCTGCAGCCTGAAACAGCTGACGATCGGGAGGCACTTAAACCAAAAGTGAAATTTGCTGTTTCCTCCAGGAGGCAAATTGCTGGGAGGCAGATGCAGATTTTTTTTCTTGTGCTAATCAGGCTGTTTACTGTTTGCTGCAAGAAAGTAAGTCAATAACTACAAAAGCCTATAGTGTGTTCAAATTTTAGACTTATTTTTTAAAGACTGCTTTATTATTGTTCTCGACAGCTTAACAAAATGAAGAAGCTTTTTAAAATAAAAGTTTGATCTGAAGAGGCCCAGAGCTATTGTATCTTCTTTTAAATAGCAGAGAATAACTATATTTCCAGAAAGCACATCAGTTTTAACAGTATCTGTACAAGTATAGTCTGAAATGTAACACTACAAACAGTGTTGTTGTCTGTATTGTTTGCTGTTTTGAAGCAGATTTTTTCCCCTTGTTTTCCTCTCCAAAAGCTAGGTGTGTCTTATACTTCGGAGCATCTTATACGCTGAAAAATACTATACATAGTTTGTTTCCCAGTCTAGCTGTCTATCTCATTTCCATATCTTGAAGATCAGCCATCTGCAGCTTAATCTTCTCCTGATGTGTTGGGACATCAACTCAGCATTGGAGGCATCTCCAGGAGTTCCAGTTCCAACACAACCAGAGGTCTCAAATAGGGACACAGATATCCAGCCCCAAATCAATCCTGTGTCAATCCTGATGTCTTTGATGGCTTCCTACTATTCATTCCCATGTCAGTTCTTCCTCTTGCTAAGCCAGATTTTGTTTAAAGAGAGGAGATGCACTTACTGTACCCCACCACAGGGAGTCTGCATAGGTGAGAAAATCTTCATTGGCATCTTTTTCCACCAGGTAAACCAGGAAAGAGGAAAAGATAAGGACAAGGAACCCAATGTACCATGCTGTGATCAGCTCCTGCCAGAGTCCACCAGAGAAAAGGAGATTTCAGCAACAGAAACCAAGAGAGAGGACAGAAACTTGCCTATGGATCATCACCATTGTCTCTGAACTCAAAACCAAATGTATCCTTCTTCCCATGTCACCCACACAGCAACACCCTTGTAAGGCAGCTTGATCTACAGGTAGTCCCCGACTTACAACAGTTTGTTTAGTGACCATTCAAACAGCACTGAAAAAAAGGGTCTCATAGCCTTTTTTCACAGTTGTACCCTCTGTAGAAGCCCCATGATTGTGTGATCAAAATTTGGATTCTCAGCAACTGGTTCATACTTACGATGGTTGTAATGTCTCAAGATCATGTGATCCCCTTTTGCGACCTTCGCGGAGGTGGTATTCAGCAGGTTCTGACCAGTTTTGGAGAACCGGTAGCGGAAATTTTGAAAAGTTCAGAAAACGGGCAAATACCACCTCTGGCTGGCCCCACATGTCTCACTTAACAACAGAAATTTGGAGCTCTCTTGTGGTCGTATGTCAAGGACTACCTGTACCAAGCTGTAAATGGACTCGGGCTTTTCTAGTCCCATTCACCAATTTCTCCACTTCACCACCCTGGCCTATTGGAAAAACTAAGGAAATATCAAAGGCTTCACCAAAGTTCAGTCTGCATACCTGAAAGGTAAGGGAACAAAGGAGCTAATAAACCCCATTTCACCTCTATTTTCCTACACTGAATTCATGCATTTGCAGGTAGGATAAGATGCCAGTAGAAGTGACAGGGTTATTGGATAGCTAGGTGGAGTTGGGAATTGGACATGAATGCCAACTGATTGACCCTGTCTCCTTTCATCCCTCATACTAATAAAATGATTGATGATACAGGGCTAAATAAAAAAGGTCACTTTATTTTTTTTAAAGGACCATCTGCTTGAATCATGGAACATTCTTTTATTACTACAGACACACACACACACACACACACACACACACACACACACCTGGGGATTCCCTGACCCTGGGGCATTTGAATATTGTAAGCTTTCCCTAGGGAGCTCTAATGTTGCTCTATTTTCATCTGTCTGTTTCTAATTGACTCCACTTTGTAGAGACTGTCACACTTACGGAGAGACCCAATCAGACCTGCACAACACTTACACAATCCCTGTTCAGTACAGGTTTTCTAGTTGAGCTTTCTCAAGATGATGCAATAACTGCATGTCCATCTTTTCAGGGTCCCAGACAGTGGAGGGATTCAGCCACTTCGCACCTATTCTGGAGGACTGGTTGTTAACTGTCTGAGCAGTTCGGAGAATCGGTTGTTGAAAGAAATCTCCTTTTGTTTTTTCCCACTTTACAGGGCTAATCCTGTAAGGAAGTCAGGAAGGAGACATTCTGGTGTTGTTTCTAGCCTCATCTTCATTGCCCTGCTTACAGAAACTGCCTCTCCAGTTCACCTTTATTACATTGTAACAGCTAAGGTGAAGCGCCCATCGATGTGAGTGACATTGAGTTGGCCACACCCACCCAGCCACATGACCACCAAGCCCCACCTACCCAACTGATTATTAGGGCAGAGAACCAGTTATTAAATTATTTGAATCCCATCACTGGTCCTAGAGAACCATTGGATGTTTTCTATCACACACCTAGAAATACACAGCCCGGGCATGGGGATGCGGGGGGAGGGGGCACTGCAAAATACAATGAAAGACAGTCAATATGAAAGCTAGCTTCCTTACAAAGAGGCATGAACCTCATTAGAGATACCTGTAGGAAATCTCAATCATTTCCTCTCAAGAACTGGATGCTTCTCTGCATAAACAGGACCCACGTGGAGTAAATAAGTCACAGCATTGCAGAGATAAGCAATCTAGTTCTGACAAAGATCAGTTTCTATAACCAGGAAGAATTTACATCCATAAATCATAAAATCAGAACACCAAATACAAGCTGGGCAGATATGGCCTCGTAGACAACCCTCACTCTGTCAAGGACCTTGGAGTACTCATCTCAAATGATCTAAGTGCCAGAGCTCACTGTAACAGCATTGCCAAAAAGGCATTAAGAGTTGTCAACCTAATCTTGCGCAGCTTCTTCTCTAGTAATATTGTACTGCAAACTAGAGTATACAAAACTTTTGCAAGACCAATTCTCGAATACAGNCAATGATCTCCGACTCCGAAGGCAGCTGATAACTGTCGGACGGCCCTGTCCCCCTCTCTGCCTCCGACACAGAGCCCTCATCAGAGCCTTCCCCAGACTCCAGGACTGGCCCATCTTCCTCCCCAACCTCCTCACTCTCCGAATCTACCGCCAGCTCCTTTGGCCGCTGGCGGGCCACAACAAAGACAACCAATCGCGTCATCTGGCCCAATCCTCCCTCCTCTCGCCATTGGCTGCCTTCTGCAGGGGGGGAATCCCATGTAGTCCATACTCCAGGCAGACTACAGCTTGGGTTGGGGGGGGGGGGAGAAACTGGGCGGGGCTTTCTCAGCAGGAAACCCTGAAAAAGAGGTGGGAACCGAGGAACGGAAAAGCAGATCCTATTAAAAAAAAAACTATATATATTTATATATATATTTGTCTTCAAAGGAGATGTGAAATCCGAGCGAGAGACGGCCAAGGAATCGAAAATTGGCAGTCTCCGCGACGAGAACCGGAACAACGGGAAGAGGGAAGAGCGGGTGGAGAAACCCCGGTTTATGTTCAACATTGCGGACGGGGGCTTCACAGGTAAGGATGTCGGCTGGGTGCTGGAGAGATCCGATCGTGGTTTTCTTGTTTTTTTCATGGTTTATTCCCTTGTTCCATCGCTTGGCTACTCTGTTGCCTTTAGGCATTTCTTTTCGTTCTCCTTTCTTCTCCTTTCTCCGTTTTTCTTGCTTTTAGCAACCTTAAGAGTAACAGCCCTGCGGCGGGAAGGGACGGCAAATAAATTGAATCAATGAATAAATGAATTTTCAAAATGATTTTCATTTCTCCGTTTTTATTGTTGTAAGCAGGCTGGAGTATAAGCCCTGAGGTGAGATTGATGGCAATTCAATTCAATGAAATAATTAATACATTTAATAAATAAAAAAATAGCTAAATAAAAATCAAATCTTTTCACTACTCCGTTTTTAATTGTTATAATAAACAGGCTAGGGGAGGTGAGATTGATGGCACATAAATGTAACCAAGAATTACATCCATTATTTTCATTTTTATTCGTTTTTATTGCTGTAAGCAGGCTGGAGTATAATCCTGAGGTGAGATTGTTGGCAAATTAAATTAAATTAATAAATTTAATAAATAAATAAAAATAAAATGAATAAATTATTTTCATTTCTCCATTTTTATTGTTGTAAACAGGTTAGAATAATAGCCCTCAGGTGAGATTGATGGAAATTAAATAAATAAATAAATAAATAAATGTGACAGTGATGGAAATTAAATTAAATGATTAATAAATGTAATAAATAAATAAAAATAAAATAAAACAAATGCTTTTCCTTTCTCCGTTTTTATTGTTGTAAGCAGGCTAGAATAATAGCCCTCAGGAGAGATTGATGGAAATTAAATAAATAAATAAATGTGTCATTGATGGAAATTAAATTAAATTATTAATAAATGTAATAAATAAATAAAAATAAAACAAATTATTTTCATTTCTCCATTTTTATTGTTGTAAACAGGCTAGAATAATAGCCCTCAGGTGAGATTGATGGAAAATAAATAAATAAATAAATAAATGTGACATTGATGGAAATTAAATTAAATTATTAATAAATGTAATAAATAAAAATAAAACAAATTATTTTCATTTCTCCGTTTTTATTGTTGTAAACAGGCTAGAATAATAGCCCTCAGGTGAGATTGATGGAAAATAAATAAATAAATAAATAAATGTGACATTGATGGAAATTAAATTATTAATAAATGTAATCAACAAATAAAAATAAAATAAAACAAAATGCTTTTCCTTTCTCCGTTTTTATTGTTGTAAGCAGGCTAGAATAATAGCCCTCAGGTGAGATTG